GCGCTCGCGCCCGCTCGCTTCGAGCGAGCCGCCAAAACAAAACGTCGGCCCAGCTGTGGCTCAACGGAGCCCCGCCCAAAAATAAGCAACACGTTCAAGACGGAGCGAAGAGCACCATCGACCGCCCCAACGAAGCCACGGGGGGTCTCAAAATACTCCATCCCATGCCCCTGTTAAGGCGAGGCGTTGGCACAGGCCCCGCTTTGCTTACAACCGTCTGCCAGTCTTGCCGCCAGACCAAGCGCGAGAATCCCCACCGAGCCCCTCGCGAACCTCAAGAGGCCCCCGAAGACGACCCCGAACGGCGCGGGGAAAGCTCCAGGACAATCCCAAAATACCTTCGCTATACTTCACCGAGCCGTGAACTCCCACCCGCCTGCTGCGCGCGAGTGGTTCAACAAATCCACCGTTTTTCTCCTTCAGAACCCCCCCCCCCCCCCTGCCAGAAAAGAAGGGCTCGCCCCCCCCCCCCCCCCCCCCCCTCCCCGCACCACCACCACCGCCACCACCACCGCCCACCCCACGTCGCATCCCGCGGGTCTGGAGGGAAGGAAAACGGAACGGTCAGAGCGCCCATGATGGCCCACGGCGGCTGCAGCGTAAGCTTAGCGAGCGCACTCCAACACGGCCCAAGATGAATGAGCGTGGCGCAAGCTACTTTCGACTGGCCTCCAGAAAGATCCAAGGCAGCCCCAAGCGGTTCTGCGCGCGCGGGGAGCCCTCCAAAACCCACCCCGCGAGGCCAAACTTAACACAACGCCAGCAGAAAATTGCGCGTGATTGCCCTCTCGCCTGCTCGTTTCCGGAACACCTCGCAAGTTTCTCAAGTTCCCCAACGCGACCAAGACGAGTCCTTCGAGAAGCCCGAAAGAAGCCCCTATGGACCCCAATAGCGCCCGAGAGTGCTCCATGAAGGGCCTGAGAGGACCGCAACGCAACGTTTTCTAAGCCCCCGAGGGCGGGACCTTCATTGGACCCCACCCGCCCGCTGAACTGCGAAACCCCAAAAGCGCCTCAACGCGATTCCCAAACTTCCCAAGCAAACCATGGAGGCACCTCATCCCGCAACACAAAGGCTCAAGAGTGCGCCAAGAGGTTCCGCGAGGACCCGACGAAAGCCTTAAAATGAATCCAATGGGGCTCCTGCGAACCACCCTTGACAACAAGTTCTGAAAGGATTTCTGGGTGAGCTGTTGGGCATGCGCGACGCGCGACGAAATCTCCATTCCTGCGTGCCTGCGACAAGTTGCGCCTCGAAAAACGGTTTGCCGAGAGCTCGCGATCATGTCAGTATCATTTCTGGGCGGGCTGGTGAGGCAGAGCGGAACCTACGCAAACGATCGGGGCCACATAGCGCGAGAGCGGCTTGCCACGGCTAACGCGCAGGCCAGGGAAGAACATGAAAAATAAACGCAGGAGCTGGACCGGACGGCGAAGGGCGACGCCGGAGCGGAGAGAAGGAAAAGGGACGAGGAGGCGAAGGACCAAGGAGCAGGTTTTCGCACCAGGCGAACGCAGGACATCAAGGCGGGGCAGTGCCCTCAAATGTCCGCTGGGACCCGCGCGGGGGCAAGTGCCTGCATTGAGCTTCGTTCGGCTCACACGCCTCCTCCCTCCTCCCTGTTCCTTCTTCTCCTCCCTCGCCTGCCGTATCCCTCATAATTTCATTCCTGCGTTTCCGCGACAGCCGCAACGCGCCTGTGATCACCTCATCGCGCACCCCGTCGGGAGAACGCGAAACTGCGCGGAATGAGTGCGAAAGCGAGCTCTTCCTCAACCGTCGGAAACGCAACCCAGGCAGCAGCACCGACCAACGCAGGCAGCGCAGACCACGTATCGTCACTACACGATCGTTCGAGACGTCAGCCAACAACGACTACGGCCTCACGACGTGGCATCTTGCACTGGCGCGACGCCACCGGTTAACTAGGACGGCGACGATGACGACGAAAACTATGTTTCACGGCGACGCGCCCGACGAAATTCAAACAGCGAATCGCCCGCGCGAATCAAACAACGCGCGGCGCAACGTCGCCGCGAGAAGCGGGACACTTACATCACACCCACAGTCGCAAACTCATATTCTGTGCTGTAGAAGCGCGCAACCTCCAGCGTAGCGTGATTCTGCGCATGCTCGCGCATGCAATGACGTTCCAAAAGCGCAAAAACAATCGCGACGCAACCGTCGGAAAGCGGCGCTGGCGAAACCGATGCGGCCATTGTTTTTTCATCTGCGCGGCCGCGGCGCCGACGCGGCATCCTTTTAAAATCTGTTTTTTTTGAAAAAGAAATAGTGGTCACAGGGGTTTTGTGGATGTGCGGAGAAAGTCGCTGTGACAGCGTTGTCATTGAGTCGAAGGGAAGCCCCTTCCCGTTGATCCCTCCCCTGCCGGGGGGGGCGGTCCTTCGGGCTCGGGGGGGGTCTTGGGGGGGTCCCGGGGGTGGCCCCGCGTCAGATACGACTCCCCCCCAGGGGTCCAGGGCCCACACAAAACTTCAGACGTGCTATGAACCGAAGCGTTTTACCATGCCCCAACCCCAGCCCCGGCCCCAGTCCAGCCCCACCCCCGGCTCCGCTTCTGGCCCCGGCCTCGGTCTCGACCGGTCCCAGCCCCGGCCCCGGCCCGAGTTCCAGCCCTGGCCCCCAGTCCCGGCCTCGGCCCCGGCCGCCCTGGCCCCAGCCCCTGCAACCGGCCCCGGGCCGGCCCCGGCCCTGGAGCCTGTTTTTTTTTGTTGTTTTAGACTCTGGCAAGTTTACTTGCATGGACGGGGGGGGTGGGCTGAGCCTGAAGCAAGCCGCAAACGACTTGCACGTTCGGGGGGGGCGCGGAAATCACGCAAGTCGAAAGGCACTTGCACGCTAGTATTCGCTTAAAGAGGGGCGAGGGGGGGGGGGGGGGGGGGGGGGGCGAACGCCATGCAAGTAAACTTGCCTGAATCCAAAAAAAAACAGGTTCCTGGCCCCGCCCCGGCCCGTCCCAGCCTCGGCCCCGGCCCTGGCCCCGGCCCTGGCCCTGGCTCCCGGCACGCTCCGGCCCCGGCCCTGGCCCAGGTCCCGGCCCTGGCGCCCTCCAAATCTAACTACACCTCCGTGGCCTGCTTCAAAACAGCAAACGAAGCCTGGAAGTCGCCCGCGAAGGGCTCCAAGACGCCCCGAATGGTCCTGATACGCAACCGGCGTGGTCGTCAACATCGTGAACATCATCGCCATTATCTCCTTCTTCTCCTCATGATCGCCACGCTTTACTCGCCACTGCCTTTCCTTCGTGCCCCCCCGCGACCCTGCTCGCCTCACTCTCTTCCTATTCATTCCCCCCATGTGCTCGTACCCCTCCTCATCTGCCTCTTCCTCCTGTCCCCCTCCTCATCTTCCTCCCCATGCTCCGCGCCGTCATCCCCAATCTCGGGGTGGGCGGCACCGGCCGTAAGGCCTTCGCAATATTCAAACACATTTAAAGAAGAATCAAAAAATCGTCCCCAGACCTTTTGACAATTATTGAACATTCCTCCTGTAGAGGGACACGCCCGACTTAACACAAGGCTCCCAAAACTACCCCCGGATAGCCCCAGCAAGCTGATCCGAGACTTTCGAAGAGGCTCCCAAGTAGATTCCTGGGAGCCACTACGGCTGGAGGCTGCTCGGGCCGAGCTCAGCCTTGGTCTCGCTAGCGCTCACCCTTCACACTTCCGACGACAGCTCGCCAGGGAACCGATTTGTGGCTGAGGAGGCGAGAGCGCAGCAACCTGACAAAGGTCTCGCAAGCCAGCTTGCAAAGCGCGGGAAGCTCTCTCTCTCTCTCTCTCTCTCTCTCTCTACGAACGCTGGTCGGAGCCCCCCGTTTCCATTCAAAGTGCTCACTGCGGGGGCGGGATGCGCCAGACCGAACAGAAGCATAAAAACGAAACCGAGGAAGGAGGACGGGGTGGTGTGGACACGCGAGGCGTCAAGAGTTTGTTTACCGCCTACTTTGGGCACGCACCCGACAGAGTGATCCCTCCCCCCTGAGCCCTCATCCCCCTCGTCCTCCTCCGCCTCGGGCTCCTCCTCCATTCTCCTACTCTTGGGGTATGACGGCTTCCCCGGCCCTGGAATCCACTGCATGCCCCACCACATCCCTGATCAGGGCAGCTCGCCTGGGCATCGTCTTGTTTTGGCATGGGTCGATGAGGCTACGCGAGACGTCGAGAAATCGATCGCCGCACCCTTCGGGCACATGGGCAGGGCAGGCAGGGGCTGCAATCCTGGCCAAGGCTTGGGCCAGCGCTGAGCTCTGGAAGTGGCGCTGGCAGTGGAAGCGATCTCGCCAGCAACTGCAACCTGTACATTGTCTGGCGATCTGGGCTGTGCGAAGCTTTCGGCCCCATGGGTCAGCCTCGGCAGGGAGCACATTCTCTGGGGCCCTCTGCAACATCAGCACATCGACGCGCCTCGACATTGCTCGTATTCTATCTCTGCGTGGGGCACTGATTAGACGGTGCGAGAGACACGTCAGGATCCTCTGGGGTCGTCCATCCCACGCACGCGAACTCTCGAAATCGCGCCTGCGATCAGACCACTACAGTCGGCATGAGCACTCACTTCTAGGCTCCGTTGGATCCGAAGGCGGGTTCTGACAATGGTATAAAATGTTGCTGCCCACTTCTGCAACATCACCCCTCCCAGCCACCTCCTCCCTCCTCCAGCTTTACCCCGTACACGTTGTCGTCCCAAGACGCGCCTATTCATCAACTTGCCAAGTGTTTTGAAAAGCTGGATCCCAAAGCGTCACTGCCTCTTCCCCGGTGCCACCTGCCTAATCCCTCCCTGTCTTCCTCCTCGCACCTGCCACCGGCGTTTCCATCCCTCTCATTCCCTCGATTGCCTCCGCGTGATCCTCCACCCTCTATCCTCCACTCCTTCCATGTCTCCAGTCCTCCTCCCTCCTCCCCCCTCACGCGGAGATAGCGGTGGGGATACAGTTCAACTCCTCCTTAGGAATTCGGGCTCTGACCCAGTGAGCATCATCATCTGCTTCGTGCCAGATGGCCGATTCAGCTTCAGGAACTTGACCAGCATGGGGCAGGAAGTAGCATTCACCTTGAAAAGGTGTAAGGAAAACTACAGTATGAGCAGGAGTAGGGCTACAGGTCAATGTAGACAGTTCGACCGACATCGCCTTCTGCCCATCGTCATCACATCAGACGCCACCTCCCTGCACTTCACCATGTGTGGTAGCGTCCTTGTACTTCCCGTAACCCTCTCCTGATCTATCTATTCACACTTCGACGTTTTCGTCTAGATATCAGCACCACTACCAACATCGCGATCATACACCTTCTCTTCGCAGTCAAGCGGCTACGCGCTGTACTGCCGAACTGTGCAGATGGCGTCTTGAATGTTGGGGATGGATCTGCCAGCCGCGGGATGGATTCAAAGGGCCACGCGGGAACCGTTGGACGCGGGACCCACCCGCGAGGACACGGGGGGGCCAGCGGCAGGCAGCAGTAAGCCCGTCGTGCCGCCTTCCCCGTCCGTCCTTCTCCACCGCCAGTTTGTCCTCGTCCTCGCCGTCGTCGTCATCCCTCCCCGTCCTGCCGAGCACGCCCTGGTCAGATGAATTCGACCGAGCACGCCCCCGTCAGGCATGCGGCCCCAGGGGCCTCGGATACGTGCTATAACATCGAGCAGCATGAACAACAAAACCCCTGACACGTACAAACATGTGTAGATATATACATATATATAGACGCATGCATAACCTCATTCGAACTGTTTATCCTCCTCCCCTCTGCGCGAACCAGCACCGTGAACGCAATGAGTTTAGAGGATCGGGAAGGCTGGAAACACTGCACCTATGATGGCATAGATAATCCACCACCGCGCCCTTGAGGAACGAGTAGGAGTGTCCCGAGCTCCCTTGGTCGATCTTCTGGACCATCGACCCTCAATCCTGAGCAAACGTTAGAGGGACCAGACCCTGAATTGCCAGTCTTTGAGGGCTTGGCGAGTGCCTCCTGGGGCCCGTCGCGGCTTGTCGCGTGACTGGTTTGGGCCCAGGAGGGCCCCAAGAAGGCCCAAGAGCACCCTGGGAGGCCCCCTCGGACGGTCCAAGAGGGCCGCGAATCGCCACACGAGCGGTCCAGGACGCGCAGGAGTGCCCCAAGACGGCACAAGAAGCCTTCGAGGCAAAGGAGACAGTAAGAGGCCCCAAAGAGACGCCAGTGAGGCCCCAAAAACGCCCCAAGAGGTCCCGAAGGCGGCCCCCGAGAGGCCTCGAGACGGCCCCCAAGATGCCCCCGAGAAGGGGACATGCCCGACCTAAATCAATGACCTTCGGCCTATCCCGCCACCGTGCCTGGGTTGTGGGTCATCGGCCTCTACCGTGTTCGCTGGGATGTCGTGGGCGATAAATTATACATAGTCGAAGAATGCGCAAAATAGTGGCTGAAAAACAAAGCATGTGTTCTGATTATGTTTGAGTACTCCTCCTGTAGAGGGACGGGCCCGACATAACAGTAGATACATGGCAGGTGTGCGGAGGCTGTGCACCTCATGTTCCACTCGTCTCCTCAATGAAGGGGCCCAAGAACACACAAATAAATACACACAAATATGAAGATTCCAAATATGTGCTCAGATGTTCTGGATGTGTGTCTTCCCCCCACTTCCCATATTTTCCAATATTTTCCTTGGAATCGACAATTGATTGTGTCTGTGTGTTCTTTCCCCTCCTGACTCAAGCCAGGCCCGCAGGCACGGAGAAGGACGAGGACGACTCGACAAGGAGGCCCACCACAATCAGGCAACAACATGGGAACCGACCGACAACATACACGTCATCGGGAGCCGCACATCTGCTCGTCTGGGAGTCGGCGGAGTGACGCAACTACCGGATTCGGCCTGACCTAAGGAACGATAAATAAGGAGGCTCGCCGCCAAAAAGGTAGCGGAACGCATGCAAACCAAAGGAACGACCGAGCCCGTTTTGAAAAGTAAGTGTTCCTTAGTCAAGCTGGACCCTGTACACGTCATCGGAAGCCGCACCTCTGCTCTTCTGGGGGTCGGCGGGTTGACGCAACTGAGCCTCTTGAGTGAGCAATGCCTCGCGGGCGTGCTTGGGCTCTACCGCGTCCTGCCCCCCTCGCCGCTCCCTCACCCCCTGCGTCTTCATCCCCGTTCACCCTGATCCTCCTCCTCCTCCTCCTCCTCCTTCTCCTCCTCCTCCTCCTGATCAGCATCATCAGCTTCATCATCATCATCAGAATCATCACCATCACCATCACCATCACCATCACCATCACCATCACCATCACCATCACCATCACCATCACCATCACCATCACCATCATCATCATCATCATCATCATCATCATCATCATCATCATCATAATCATCATAATCATCAGCAGCATCAGCATCATCAACATCATCTATCATCATCAGCAGCATCAGCATCAGCATCATCATCACCGGCATCAGCATCACCATCACCAGCATCAGAATAACCATCATCATCAGCATCGTCAGCATCAGCATCAGCAGCAGCAGCGTCATTCTCATCCTCATCATCATCAGCAGATCGCCATCATCACCATCGCCATCACCATCATCATCATCATCATCATCAGCAGCAGCATCATTATTATTATCATCATCATCATCATCATCATCATTATCATCAGCATCAGCATCAACATCATCAACATCATCAGCATGATCACCATCATCAGTATCATCATCAACGTCATCGTCATCATCGTCATCATCATGAACATCATCAGCATCATGATCAGCATTAATATCATCGTGAGTATCAGCATCATAAGCAGCAACATCATCAGCATCAGCAGCAGCAGCATAATCATCAACATCATCACCATCCTCATTATCATCGTGATTATGATACTCATCATCATCATCAGCATCAGCATCAGCATCATCATCATCATCATCATCATCATCATCATCATCATCATCATCATCATTATCACCATCACCATCACCATCATCATCATCATCATCATCATCATCATCATCATCATCATCATCATCATCATCATCATCATTCATCATCGTCATCATCATCCGCTTCCTCTGCCGCTTGGCGGCAAGTGTGCGCGTGTGCGCATGTTTGCGCGTTTGCGCGCGCGCGCCCCCTTGCCCAAGCCTGCCTTCCAGTTCGGGGCGGGGTTCAAAAACTGGCAGTTTCGGAGGTAATGTATTCATCCCATGTTGTTTCCAGCGCAACTGTTTAGGAGAGGGCGGGGAGGACAGAAGGAAGGACGCGAACCATCGATGGGCATTCCACCACCCGTCTCGCTCGGTGCAATCTGCGACTACCACATGTTTCATATTGGATTCATCCCATGTCTGATTCGGGATTTGTCACTGACACCCTGGCGGAAGGGGGGGGGTGCACAGTGCCATTCAGCGGCCCCCTCTCTGCACCTTTCCGCGCTTCCGACAAAAAAAAACACCAACTCTTTTTCAGAACACAGAGCGGCATAGATAGGACCGGAACTCTCTCATGACAATGAGTGGCTCGGGACACGCTCCAGAATGTCCAGAGTGTCTAGCGACCCCCGTTTCTGCAGCCCGTGTGGAACATTAGGGCATCAGGGAAATCCTGTAAACCCTGGAAACCCTGGAAGGTCTCATTCTCATGACCTCTTGCTCCTGTGAGTAAGCACGAAGACTGCGGAAGCTCAGCGCGCATTTCCCGCATTCCTCGGGTGGGGCGGAGCGGGTGGGGGGCGGCGCCAGAGGCGCCGCCGGGTGGGCCCACCGCCGATCCGAGCAACCCGCGCGCAGGCCTCTGGAACATTGTGCTCATGCAAACGCTTCTCCTTCGGCTCCTGCTCGCTCCTCCTCCGTCTCCCGTGTGTCGGCGGCGAGCCCTGGGTGGGGAGGAGCGAGAAGAAGAGGAGGCCCTCTCTCGGAGGGCGGCGGGGCTCCGCAGAAGGCCTCCGGCCCTGCGAAAGGGTTTCCGTGTCTCCCTATAGGGAACTTCGCAGAAGGCTGGGGGGCTTTCGAGCCTTCTGTCGGGGGCGGCCAAGAGGGGGGTGCCCAAGAGGGGGGGGGGGGGGGCAAATCATGGCAGGCGGCACGTGCGCGGCTGAGGGGGGGGGGGCAGGAACGCAATCAAATAAAAAAAGGCGCCATGAGATCAGGGGATATCATGACCCCCGCCATGATATCCACCCCCCCCTAGTCATCACCCCCCTCTTTGCCCCCCCCGATTCTGAAAAGGTCCGCCTCTTCTCGCTGCACCCCGGGCTTGCGGCCGATCCTCAATCTCCTCCTACAAGGGGCACCACCAGCGTCATCAGCGCGATGCCGCCCACGTAGAACAACACGCGCTGGCCCTCTGGGGGGGGGGGGGGGGGGGGGCGCCCCTCGGCGGAAGGGTGACATGGACAGCGCGCTTGGGCGCGCCACGGAGATGGAACCGCTGGGGAGGGGTGAGGGACATGAGGGGGCGATGTAGGAGGAGGAGGAGGAGGAGGAGGAGGAGGAGGTGGAGGAGGAGGAGGACCGAGATAAGAGAGGAGGAGTCGTAGGGGGGGGGATCCGAACGAATCCGTGGAGGAACAGAAAGCAAGCAAGCAAGCAAGGAGGCCGAGCGTCCAGAGGGACGCGTGGGCGGGTCGGCAGGAGCACGCGTGGCTCTTGCCAGGACTCGCTGCGACAAACTCGTCGGCAACAATCCCTCGTATACCATCAGCGGTGCACAGGCTTGGACTGAGCAGCTCAAGAGGAGGAGGAGGAGGAGGAGGAGGAGGAGGACAGGTACTCAAAGTCCCAGAGAAACCCAACATACATGGAGGCGGGCTGGGCGTCGGGTAGAGCGTCGGGGTAGAACTAGGACAGCTTGTCATCGGGTGCAGGACGCTTCCCGACACATTCGTTGGGTACAGACTGGAGCAGCCCTTTGTCAAGAGCCAGCTGATGCCTATCCAGGCAAAGAAACTGGACGACGCGCCGCACCTCTCCGACGTCAACTCGAAGACCGCCCAGTCATGATGACGGTCTACCAAGGCAGATGGAATGAGTGTCGGAACAGCAAGCTTGTCGAGAAGCCATTCGCGCACTGATTAACAGATCTCGGGGATGGACAGACCTCCCTTTAGAAGAGAAGTGGTTCAGTGAAAACGACCTCGGGCCCAAACCTGGTGGGCGCAAGCCTGGAAAGTAACGGCCGCGGCGCCCTCTCGAGAACCGAAACGGACAATTCACTAATCGACGTGTCACTGTTAGGAGGCCTGACCACCCCCGAAAATAGGAGACGGACTGGTCGCCCACAATGAGTTCCCGATGCCGGGCGGCCGGAGCGCCCAGGTGCGCCGCTCGAGGTCGTGGTGCCTTCGCAGGAGGTGGCCTCGGAGCCCCGGGCCCCGTGCTGCGGAGGTAGCCATATCGAAAGGAGCGAAGGGACACACAAAAAGGTTCACACGAATCCCGGGAGTCCCCACATGTTCCTAGCAGGTTCTGGGTGCTCGTCTTCCCCCCCACTTCCCATATCTTCCCATATCTTCCCCCCCACTTCCCATATCTTCTCCTGGGAGTCGGCGATGAATTGTGTCTGTGCCATTTTTCCCCTCCCGAACAATTGCCACTGGGTGAGAGGCAGGCGCGCACCTCTGCCCCAGGACGCCGCGAAGTGCTCTCCCGATCCGGCTGTGGGCACACCTGCCAGCAGACTGGTTGCGATGAGAGTGCCCTCAGTGAATCCTCCTCCTCCTCCTCCTCCTCCTCCTCCTCCTCCTCCTCCTCCTCCTCCTCCTCCTCCTCCTCCTCCTCCATACCCTGAGCGAGATGGGCCACGTGGTGAATACCTTGGGGGCCATCATTCACAAGGTACCCGTGTGAGGTGTGAGAACGGAAGGGGGGAAGACGCAGCTGCGCTGGCTGGGTGCTAGGTCAGAAAGGTCTGGGCCAAGACGTCTCACTCAACCAGGTTTGCTGCCTGGGCAAGACGATTGATGCATATTTTCAGGATGGGTCTCAAAACGCCAAATGAGAAATAGGACGACCGAGTGTGGTCCACACGAATGGTTCTGGAAAGCCGAATGCGAAGGCCAGCAAACACACAACTCTGGCCACTGCGGATGCGTCACGCGGGGGCACGCCACACGGGTTCTCGCACACCTTGCGACAGAACGGAAGCGCCAGCAGCGGCGACGGGCCGACCCTTGCAGTGCAAGGATGCGGGGGATCTGCACCAGAGCAAGAACAACATGCTTGAGCACACCATGAGATCCATGATGACGCGCCCCCTTCAGACGGAAAACATGGACGATGCATCGAAGTCGTGCTGCCTCACCTCCACTCCCAGGCCCTCTTCACCTTCATTCGCCTCCTCCCCTCACGTCCTCTCGTTCCCTAGCCAGCCCTCATTCCTTCACCGTTCCCCCCTCCTCCCCGTCCTGCATCAATCAGCATCATCACATCGGCATCGCATCCATCAACATACACACTAATCGTCACCCGAACACGCATCCGCACCCTCTCCACCAAATGACATCGACCGCTGGCGCCCACGGCCTGGATCTCGCTCAGCATTCCGTCCGCCCGCTCGATGCTCACCTGGCACACGCACCCGCTCCCCCTCGGAGCTCGAGGCTGACCGCTGATCTGTCTCGCCGTGACTGGAACCTGGACGTTCGCCCAGGGCAGCCATCAATCAGACTGGGAAGCCGCAGCAAAGCATGTGCAGCAGAGAGAGGGAGACGAGGAACACGGTGGAGGCGACGGAGGCACAGCGAACGGCGAATGCTCCCTTCCCCCTCCCCCTCGGGCCCCCGGCACGCACTTACTCTCTGCGCAAGGAGGCTGGCGCGAGGACTGCCCCGGCGTGTCCCCCGCGCGCCACGGGTGCACGCGGCTGGCGCGAGGGGGGAGGAGTGGGGCGGGAAGGAGGGAGGAAGGGAGGGAAGGAGCATCAGAGGAGGAAAGGGAGGAGGGAAGGAAGGGAGGGAGGGGAGGAAGGGAGGGAGTGGGGCGGGAGGGAGGGAGGGACGGGAAGGAGGGAGGGAGGCAGGGAAGGAGCATCAGACGAGGAAAGAACAGGCATCCGGATGTCCGCGCGGACATCCTGGATGTGGGCTGGACATCCCGCCCGGAGGGTCCCTTCCAGACGCGCGGAGCGCGCCAGGAGTAACGCCAGGAGAGGCTCCGCGCCGATTGCGCAGATCCGCGCGGACGTCCGGGAGTTTTATGTTCATGTCGTTCGTTCTGCTTGAATGCTCCTTTCCTCCCTCGCCCTGAGGGGGAAATCTAGGGGGGGCTTGCTCTCAGCAACAGGCCCCCAGCAGCGAAACCGAACGTTCCTGGGCGGGGTGGGCCATCGGGCCCCCCGTCGGCGATCGATGGACGATTGGGGGCCGACGCATCCCTCATTTGAGCCTCGTCCCCCCCGACGATGCCAGACTGCTCCTTCTCCTCTCCTCCTTTTCCTCCTTCTCCTCCTCCTCCTCCTGCTCCTCCTCCTCCTCCTCCTCCTCCTCCTCCTCCTCCTCCTCCTCCTCCTCCTCCTCCTCCTCCTCCTCCTCCTCTCCTCTCCTCCACCTCCTCCTCCTCCTCCCTCCTCCTCCTCCCCCCCAATCCTCCCCCTGGCGACGTCCAAAGTGGGGGCGGGTCTGCGGCCAAAAAAATCCGCCGACCCTGTCGGCGTGTGAGGGGCTTCTTCCGTTCGACTCGTCGTCTCCGTCGTCTCCGTTCTCCTTCCCAAAGCGAGGGACTCGTCGTAATTAAACGAGCGTACGTGGAGTCGAAAGGGAAGCCCCTTCCCTTTGATCCCTCCCCCGCAGGGGGGGGGGAGGGGGGGGGGGGCGGGGGGGCAGACACGACGCCCGCCGGGGCGCACTTTCCTCGAGCGGGCACGCACGGGATGCACTTCCTCCTCCTCCTCCTGGTCCTCCTCCTCCTCCCTCCTCCTCCTCCTCTCCTCTCCTCCTCCTCCTCCTCCTCCTCCTCCTCCTTCTCCTCCTCCTCCTCCTCCTCCTCCTCCTCCTCCTCCTCCCGCAGAGGCGTCCCGGGAGCGGGCCCCGAGTCAAAATACCACCCCCCTAGGGCGCATTTTCCTCGAGCCGCGGGCACGCCCGAGATGCACTTCTTCCTCTTCCGGGAGCACGTCCCAAGTCAGAATATCACACTCCCGGGGCGCACTTTCTTCGAGCGGGCACACAAAGGATGCACTTCCTCCTCCTCCTCCTCCTCCTCCTCCTCCTCCTTCTCCTCCTCCTCCTTCTCCTCATCCTCCTCCTCCTCCTGCTCCTCCTCCTCCTTCTCCTCCTCCTCCTTATCCTCCGCTTCCTCCCCCCACTCCTAGCCCTTTCGATCAGGGTCGGCGGCACCGGCCGTCAGGCCTCTCCAATCAACAAATCGGCACCGAATGTGTGATCATGTCCGATGGCTGTTTCGGGGGGACAGGTTTTGGATGTTGGGCCCTATTTGGTAGGATCGAAAACCATGCCGTGGCAAGGCGCTGGAAATCATGACGCCAACGCTGCAGCGAGAGCACGATTCGGAACGAGCGGAAACGCGGAAATGATGCCAGCGCTGCAGCGGGAGCACGATTCGGAAAACGCGTAGCCTGACATAGCATGGCGTGGCGACGCCCCAAAGTGGGGCTTCTGCGGCCCACTGAATCAACGAATCGGCACCGAATGTCTAATCACTTCCGATGGTTGTTTCGAAGGGCATCTTCTAGATTTGGGGACCTGTTTGGAAGGACCGAAAACCATGCCGTGGCATGGCGCTGGAAATAATGACGCCAAGGCTGCAGCGAGGCCACGATTCGGAACGAGTGGAAGCGCGGAAATGACGCCAGCGCTGAAGCGGGATCATGATTCGGGACGAGCGGTAGCCCGAATATGAGGCCAGCGCTTCAGCGAGAGCAGCATTTCGACGAAGAACCAAACGAAAACCCGTCACCCGGGAACACTGTGTGCAAAAAAACAATACGCGGAGGGGGGGCGAACATTTTCCGGACGTCACCAGGGGAGAGGGGACAGTAGTATTCAGATTGTGCAAGTGCATAAGAGAAGGGGGAGGAGGAGGAGGAGGAGGAGGAGGAGGAGGAGGAGGAGGAGGAGGAGGACGACGACGACGACGAGCTACCCAGCCGCCCGTCCCCCCCGTCCTACCAATGGTAGTGGTGGTGGAAAATTGGCCCAGGAAACAAGGCCCCTGACTCTCACCCCCCTCCCCCGCCCAGCCTGTATGGCCAGCGCTAGCCCCACGGCACCGCGCAGGCCGCCCCAGCACATCAGCGTGGCGTCCGCCGGCGTGACCTGTCCGCCGCGGGACCAGAAGACTCCCAGATGGGGTCCGAGCAAGTGGGGTCGGAGGGCCGCACCGGGTCGGCGATGCATTGGCGATGCATCGCCGATGTACCGGCGATGAAATGGCGACGGCGACGAGAAAGTCGAGCTCAACATGAAGCCGCATCGCGGATGCATCGGCCATGCGGCGCGATCCTCCGACACCATCTACTCGGACTCCATCTGCGAGGCCTAGAGATGAGGCCAACGACGAGGAGGACGACGAAGAGGAGAACGAGGGGGAGGAAAGAGACGCGACGGGGCGTATTTGGTTCGTTCTCGCCTTCCAGGGGCCCTCTCCGGGCCCCAGGACCGTCAACAAAGCTGCCCGGAACTAAAAATCGGTCCCGGGGCTGGGGCCCTGACCTCCTGAGGCTCAGGTTGCGAAAAGATCAGGACGAGGAGAAAGACGAGGAGGAGGACGACAACGACGAGGTGGACGAGGACGAGGACGAGGAGGACGAGGAGGACGAGGAGGACGACAACGACGACGACGAGGACGTGGAGGACGAGGACGACGCAAGGGGGCCTGAGGACGAGGGCGACGCCGACGACGAGGACGAGGAGGACGAAGACGAGCCCTCCCTCGCCCTCTGCTCCCCTCCCCTCCCCGTGTCTGTGCCGAGCGTCCCGGCATGCCTATAGGCCTGCCACGAAATTCGTCTTAGAACCCAACACATGTTCTGAGAACAAGATCGGGGATGGACAGACCCCCCTTTGGCAAAACGTGGTTTAGTGAAAACGACCTGAGGCCCAAACCTGGCGGGCGCAAGCCTGGGAAATAACGGCCACGGCGCCATCTCGAGAACCGAAAACGGACAATTCACTAATCGACGTGTCACTGTTGGGGGTTCTGTCCACCGCCGACAAAAACAATTTCTTAGGACAGAAGCCCGATGTGCTAAAACAAAACCCGTCCCAGCCATAAACGTTCTGAGAACAGTTCGTGGAAACCGCAAAAGGATCTTAGATCATTCCTTGGTGGGCCTATAGGCGAGCCAGGCCACTGCTTGGGACTTAACCCGCGCCGCACCGCCCGCCGCGCCCCGCCGGGGGCCGGCGCGCCCAGTGGGATCGGCGGCCGGCGGCCGCCGCAGCGCAGCGCCCTGGGGCCGCGCGGCCATGCGCCACGCCCTCTGCACGCCGATGGACTGCGACAGGCTTGAAGGGGCCCTGGGACACACAAACAAAGGCACACAACTCACGGGATTCCCCACATGTTCCCAGATGTTCTGGGGTTTCTGCCTGCCCCCCCACTGCCCATAAGTTCCCATCTTCTCCTCGGGATCGACGATTCATTGTGCATGTGTGTTTTTTCCCCTCCTCAAAGATCGTGTCGTGTCGACCCTGGCGATGTTCCCTGACACCGCGGGCATCGTTCAAACTTGCACGAGCGGTCCTTCCAAAAAGGCCGGATCGTTCAAGGAGGGGCCGATTCTGGGGCACAGGCGGAGTTCAACCTCAAACGCACGCGCTGGGGTCGCCGCCGGTCGACACGACGCGAACCTGCCGTACAGGATCGATCTCCCCCGGCCCGGATTCCCTCGTCGAATCTACCGAAAAGGACGTCGCATACTCGGGGGCTTCGCCGAAAAATCCCATGTCTGGGGTAGAGCAATGCTGTAGTGGTTCCCCTACTCGAGCACTGCCCCGCTGCAGCGTGGCATACAGTGGAGGCCCGACCACAAGAAACCTTGCACAAGAAACCCAACCCTGAGACTCCACGACGTCCATTGGTTTCTGGTGTGGGAACGCCACTCTTGTCATAGCAAAACCATCAAAACCCAAGAAACACAGGGCACCCTGGAGGCAAGCAGGGTGTTTCTTGGCATGGGCCTCCACTATAGTGGTCCGTCCCCCTACTCGAGCACTGCGCCGCTGCAGCGTGGCACGGGGGCTCTGCCGCGCAGCCGCCAGGACCTGAGGGTTCCCCCTGCGGCCCAGGTGCGCAGCAGGGCATGCGACTCCGGCCCAGCTCGGCCCCAGCGTCTCCAGTGCGAGGAGGCGCGCAGTGCTGGTCCCCAGATTTATGTTGCTCCCATCGCACTTGACGACCAAGTCCCAGAAGTAATTTCGAGCACCCAGAAAAGTATCGAAAAAGTGTCGAACGGAGGTATCGCCCCCCAGGACCCGACAGGCGAAAGCCCTCAAACTTCGGTACTTTCCTGGTGCTCGAAATCCCACCAGCCCTTTGGGCGTGAGTGGTTTAGCGAGCTCTCTCTGTTCTCAACCCCCCTTCTTCCCCTTCGGGGAGGGGTTTACCCCTCCCCCTACCCCCTACCCCTGGACCTGGAGAGGGGGTTTCGCGGGTGGTCAGAGGGTCCTTTTTCTATCCCTGGGAGGGCTAAAATTCGACACCCCTCACGAGGATTCTGGCCCCGACGGGGGGAGGGAGAAAAGTGCTCGCCCCAGCTGTGATCGATCGCCCGAAAGATGGCCCCCAGATACCTCCCAGACCCCTCCCAAAGAGCCCCAAGAGGCCCCAAGAGGCCTCCAAGAGGCCCCCAAGATGCCTCCAAGAGGCCCCCAAGAGGCCCCAAGAGGCTCCCCCGAGGCACCCAAGACGCTCCTGGAAGCCCCTGGAGCCGCCAAGAGGCCCCCAAGACGCCCCAAACGGCCTCCAAGAGGCTCCCAAGAGGCCCGAAGAGGCTCCCCCAAGGCACCCAAGACGCTCCTAGAAGCCCCTGGGGCCGCCAAGAGGCCCCCAAGACGCCCCAAAAGGCCTCCAAGAGGCTCCTTAAAGACTACTACTACTACTACTACTACTACTACTACTACTACTACTACTACTACTACTACTACTACTACTACTACGACTACTACTACTACTACTACGACTACGACTACTACTACTACTACTACTACTACTACTACTACTACTACGACGACTCTACTACTACTACTACTACTACTACTACTACTACTACTACTACTACTACTACTACTACTACTACTACTACTACTACTACTACTACTATACTACTACTACTGACTACTACTACTACTACTACTACTACTACTACTACTACTACTACTACTACTACTACTACTACTACTACTACTACTACTACTACTACTACTACTACTACTACTACTACTACTACTACTACTACGACTACTACTACTACTACTACTAACTACTACTACTACTACTACTACTACTACTACTACTACTACTACTACTACTACTACTACTACTACTAACTACTACTAATACTACTACTACTACTACTACTACTACTACTACTACTACTACTACTACTACTACTACTACTACTACTACTACTACTACTACTACTACTACTACTACTACTACTACTACTACTACTACTACTACTACTACTACTACTACTACTACTACTACTACTACTACTACTACTACTACTACTACGAGGGGCCCGAACGACTCGCACCAGGACGAGGTGCCCGAACGCCTCACACCACGAGGAGCCCGAACGACTCACACCAGGACGAGGGGCCCGAACGACTCACACCACGAAGAGCCCGAACGACTCACACCAGAAGGAGGGGCCCGAACGACTCACACCAGGACGAGGCGCCCGAACGACTCACACCACGAGGAGCCCGAACGACTCACACCACGACGAGGGCCCCGAACGACTCACACCACGAGGAGCCCGAACGAGTCACACCAGGAGGAGGGGCCCGAACGACTCACACCAGGACGAGGGGCCCGAACAACTCACACCACGAGAAGCCCGAACGACTCACACCAGGACGAAGAGCCCGAACGACTCACACCACGAAGAGCCCGAACGACTCACACCAGGAAGAAGGGCCCGAACGACTCACACCAGGACGAGAGGCCCGAACGACTCGAACCACGAGAAGCCCGAACGGCTCACACCAGGACGAGGGGCCCGAACGACTCACACCACGAGGAGCCCGAACGACTCACACCAGGAAGAGGGGCCCGAAGGACTCACACAAGGACGATGGGGCCGAACGACTCACACCACGAGGGGCCCCAACGACTCCCACCAGTCGTCGTCGTCGTCGTCGTCGTCGTCGTCGTCGTCGTCGTCGTCGTCGTCGCCGCCTTCGTCGTCGTCGTCGTCGTCGACGTCGTCGTCGTCGTCGTCGCGGTTGTGGTCGTCGTCGTCGTTGCGGTCGATTTCGTCGTCGTCGTCGGGTGCGTCGTCGTTGTTAGGATCATCGCTGTGGTCGTCGTCTCCGCTAAATCCCTCTTGTCTCCCACCGCTTTCTCTCCCTCCTCCTCCGCCTCGTCCTTCTCCCGCTCCCACCACAAGGAGAATGTACAAGGAGGCGGGAGGAAGGAGGAAATGCGGGGGCAAGCGGACACACGCCTGAAAAACACGACTGCCGGCATGGTTCGCAAGAGTTGCTGTTTTGAGATGGGCTGGTGGGGATACGCGAAGCGTGAAGAATTCTTTCTGGCGATCAAAGCTAGAAAAGGTTGGAACATCATAACCCTTGGACGCCCGAAACAAGTACGGAAAAAATTGGCACAATGCCCAACAACAAATGTTTCCCACAAAAACCAAGAGCGGCCGCTGTTGGGCAGGCGGCCTTCTGTCTCAAATGGACACAGGCCACGGCGGCGCGGACAGCGAGTCCTGTACAAACTGAACAGGAACTGCTGTTGGGCATTGTACCCATTCTTTCCGTACCCATTTCGCTCGTGCCGATAACCCAAGGTGTCGCCCGTGCACGCAGCTCCCCTCTCCGACTGCGGACAACACGATGAGGTCTTGCCGTTGAAGCTCCAGGTCGATTCTCCGCCACGCACCCGCGGCCGGAGCAGCCGAGCACACCGACGGCAAGCGGGAAGGCACGAGACGGGGAGGGGGAGGAGGCGCGAGCGCACCCCGCTGCTCAGCTTCTCCCCGTCTCGCGGCCTCCCTCCCTCCTCCCTCGCGGGTCGGGTGTTGCCCAAGGTGCCCCCTGGCCCGAGGTGCCCCCAGCTTCTCGCTCCACTCCGGAGCCCCTGGGGCCCCTCTGGGCCTCGTGAGGGGCGCCCCGGAGGCCGCCCGGGCCAGCCCGAGGATCCTGGGGGCACCTCGGGCCAGGGGCACTTCTGGCAACACCCGAGCGGGAGCCCCCCCCCACCCCCCTGGGGGCCGGCTCGGCGCTGGAGTGGCCGAGGAGGTTCAGCACGGGCAGCGACCTGGGCACGGGCAACGGGCCTTCCCTCTCCCGGCCACACCTCCTCCTCCTCACGCCCCCTCCCGCTCCAACCCCGAGGAGGATGAGGAGGAGGAGGAGGCGGAGGAGCGGAAGATGAGGTATGAAGAGGATGATGGGGGAGGCGGAAGGGAGAAGACGAGGCGGGAGGATGAGAGAAGGGAGAGGAACTCCAGCCCTCTCCGACCTCGACCCCCTTGTCCACTCCACCCGATCCCCCCCTACCACTCTCCGTCCTTTTCCTCCGCATGGGGCTGGAGCAGTTGGGATCCCAAGACCCCTTTGCCCCGTGAGCAACCTGAACAGAGTTCGCCCCTGTGGCTTCCTCGGCGTGTGAAATGGCTGCCTCTCCCCAAACCCCTCCCCCCGTGAGCGAGTCTTCCTCAATGAAGCTGGCGGACTCATCTTCCCCAGAAGTGATCCTGGTCGCGTCAGATTCCACCACATAGTATCAAGATGGTCCAAAGGGCCCGAGGACAGCCCATGAGGGCCCCAAGGCGGCCCACCAGGCCCCCAAGACAGCCCAAGAGGCTCCCAAGACTGCTGTGGAGGCGTGAGAGTGCCTCCAATGCATTCCTCACCCTGCTGTTCTTCTTCGCCGCGAATGCTGCGGGCCACTCGGTGAGGATATATCGCGGGACGCTTCCAGTCCACAGTCGGACAAATTCCAAAGGCTCCGAGGTGTCTGCTGTGTGGCGTAAGCCTTAAGATTAATCGGGCAGGTCCCCCTACAGGCGGATTTGGGAGGACAAATAGTCACAAAGACTGTAAACATCGTCCCCAGGCTATGAAACTATTTTGGAATATACCCCCTGTAGAGCCTGTAAAGTGACAGGCCCGACTTAGCCTCAGGATGATATCGCGATGAAACTCAAAGCACTGCATCGCGCAGCACCGAGCAGCACGCCGGAGACATGTCCACATCCACGGCTCCACGGGCTTTGCGGGCTCGGGCTCCGCCCCCTTGGCTGTGGGGCGCTTGTGTCACATATGCCACGCGCGGAACGCATCCGTGCGACCGCGTACGCCATTGCATCGCGCGCGAGAATCGAGGCCTTGAGAAACAACACACACAGCATAAGCACAAACGTTCAGAGGTCCGCGCAGAGCGCTCGGATCGGCAGTGGGCCCTCCTCGCTGGCGCGAGCAGCGCGCCAGAAGAGGGAGCCAGAGGCGACGCCAGGGTGGCCCAGAAGTGCTGACAGGAGACCCTGGGGTACATGGTCTTAGGTCGGGCCTGTCCCCCTACAGGGGGATTTGGGCGAAAAAAACAAATACTCGATTAACAGTCCAAAACTGCTGAAAATTGATTCAAAAATGGTCCCCAGAATATTTTGACACTATTTTTGAATATTCCTCCTGTAGAGGGACACGCCCGAATGAAGTATATAGTCCTCCCCCCTTTGCGACGCTTCGTGGCTCTCGGAGGATAGCTCGAACCTCCGGGAGGAAGAAAAGGAGTAGGAGGAAGAGGAGGAGGAGAAAGAGGAGGAGCAGGAGGAGGACGAGGAGGACGAGAAGGACGAAGAACAGGAGGAGGAGGAGGAGGACGAGGAGAAGAAAGAGGAGGAAGAGGAGGAGGACGAGGAGGAGGAGGAGGAGGAGGAGTAAGAGAAAAGGGCTCGACCCAAACGATGTGTTTCATGTTCGGTTTGCTTCCGTTTTCCGTCGGTTTGTCTTCATTCCTCCTCTGCTGAGAAAGAAACAAAACAAAAACGGCCCACGGAACCGCCAAGACACTGTTCCGGTCGAGCGCCTGCAGGAGGAGAAGGAGGCGGAAGAGAAGGAGAAGGCGGAGGAGGCGAGGAGGAGGAGGAGGAGGAGGCGAGGAGGCGAGCAGGAGGAGGAGCAGGAGAAGGAGGGAGGAGGAGGGAGGAAGGAGGATGCGAGGAAGAGAAGGCGGAGGAGGAGGCCGAGGAGGAGGAGGAGGGGGGGAGGAGGAGAGGCGGGGGAGGCGGAGGGGAGGAGGAGGAGGTGGCGAAGGCCAGGGACTAGGAGAGGGGGCAAGAGGTGGAGGGCACTGGGGTGGAGGGCCTCCTCATCCTCGTCCTCCCCCCTCCCCCCCCTCCTCCCCCTCCTCCTCCTCCTCCTCCTCCTCCTCCTTCCTCCTCCTCCTCTCCTCCTCCTGCTCCGCCCCTCCTCCTCTTCCTCCTCCTCCTCCTCCTCCTCCTCCTCCTCCTCTTCCTCCTCTCCTCCTCTTCCTCCTCCTTCTCACCTTCTCGCCTCCCTCCTCTCGGAGGCGAGCGGGGGGGAAGTGAGAAGGAGCAGGAGCTCTCTGAAGGCGGCGGGGCTTCTGAGAAGGGCGCCGGCGGCTCCTTCTGAGATGCTCTCTGTGTCTACGGGGAAGGCTCAGAAAACTCCTCATCAGAAGGCCGGGGGACTTCCAAGCCTTCTGAGAAGGTCCGCCCCGCCTCACTTCACCCTCGGGCTCGCCGCCGAGAGACGGGGTGGGGGCACGACGCCATCCGAGAAGGGTTCGACTTGTATTGTTCCATCGCGCGTAAGGGCCGCATCCCTGATTGTTTCTCGGCCACCCAGAAAATACCGAAACGGTGCCTGCCCAACACGCTGGCGAAGTGTCAAACGAGTATCGCATCCCCAAGCCTGACACGTGAAAACCTCCAGTTCCGGCACTTACATCGTAAGGCTTGACCAAAGCCTGCACACAGAGAGGAAAGTTGAGCAGGAACCGACCGTCCCGGCATTCCTGAAGGCCTACTACGAAATTTTCTTAGAACCCCACAATACTCTAGAACAAAAGGCAATGTTCTTGGAACCTCAGACCAGTGTCTCAAAACAAAACGACCGCAGCCAGAAATGATCTAAGAACCTTTCGTGGAAGCCACAGAAGGCTCTTAGGAACATTGTCTGTCAGGCCTACAGGCACGCCAGGACGCTTCGCCACCGCTTCAGAGAGGGGCAGCGTCTGCGCGGGGAAGAGGGACGGGGCCTCTCCCCGAGCGTCCCTCCCCGCGCGCCGCTCCTCCCCCGCCCGCCCCCGGGGCGCGCGCGCGTCGGCCTGGGAAAACCGGGGGGGGGGAGAGGGAGGACTGGGGACGCGCAAGCATGGATTAGCGATCCGTGGACTAGGCGCGCGGTCGCCGAATCCATGCATCGGGGTTGGTGCCCTCCCCAAAATGCGGCCGGTGCCGCCTCGTTCGGCGGCCGAAGCCTGCCCCATGGAAACGGGACCCGTCGCTAATCCACGCCCCCGTGATCCATGTTTGCGATCGCCTGAGAGGAGGTGATCAATAATAAAAGAATCCCTAACCCAGTTGGGAGGGGACCCAAGTGAGGAGGGACAGGAGCATCAGGGACAGAGGGGACTCTGCGGCAGACGAATCAGACCGAGCCGTGCAGACTTCTTACCCATTAGTGCGAAGACGCGGACCTACGTGCGGCTACGTCGTCAGTGTGTTATTGGGCGTAGGTCGAGCATGTCCCCCTACAAGCGGATTTTGGACGAAACATTAAAAATTGTAATAAAAAAAAAAAAAAAAAAAAAAAAAAAAAAAAAAAAAAAAAAAAAAAAAAAAAACTGGCGGAAGGCCCAAACCATATGCAGCTGTGAGTACCGCAGTCGTGACTATCATGTTCGATGGGGCTCCCTATGGGACCAAGATCCTCGTGAGGGGTGCGCCGAACTTGCCCGAGGCCGCCATGCGAACTTTCCCACTGGGGCCTTCGGTGGAGCTCCCTATGGGGCCACGATCCTCGTGAGGGGTGCGCCGAACTTGCCCGAGGCCGCCATGCGAACTTTCCCACTGGGGCGTTCGGTGAGGCTCCCTGTGGGGCCACGATCCTCGTGAGGGGTGCGCCGAACTTGCCCGAGGCCGCCATGCGAACTTTCCCACTGGGGCCTTCGGTGGGGCTCCCTATGGGGCCACGATCCTCGTGAGGGGTGCGCCGAACTGGCCCGAGGCTGCCATGCGAACTTTCCCACTGGGGCCTTCGGTGGGGCTCCCTAGGGGGCCCCGAAACGTGTGAGGGGTCTGCCGAAATGGGTACGGTGCGGGGAAGGAGGGAGGAAAGAAGGAGGAGAGGAAACGCGGAGCACTGTCTCTTCAAAACGAGTACCCAACACCACAGGATGGTTGGGGAATAAATGCTCGAAAACTTCATAAACGAACATATACTCGACAAATCGTCGCCACACTATGTTTGGCAATATTTGAATATTCCTCATGTAGAGGGACGTGCCCGACTTCTTACGGGTAAGGGGTTATTTGATTCTCGATGATAGGTGGGGCGAAGCTGGGAAGCAAGGGAGGGCAGGGCACTCCACTGACCTGCGGCCAGCTTCGCTTGAGAGGACTGCCAGATGGGGTCCGAGTGGGACTGGCTCGGAGGATCGCGCCGCATCGCCGGCGCATCGCCGATGCAGTGGCAGTACCCGCGGCGCATCGGCGACGTCGGCATGGAGAAAATCGGGTTCCGCCTGAGCCGCATCGCCGACGCATCAGCGATGCGGCGCGATCCTCCGACCCCATCTACTCGGACCCCATCTAGGAGGCTAGGTTCGTTGAAACCCGGCAGACAAATAGATCATGCTGCCTCGGATGATGACGCAAGCTGGAGGTCTCTTTGAATCGCTGTGACGCGCGGGCTGCGTCGCTACCCGTGACCGCGCCAGAGACCAATCGGCCCCGACCCTGCCCTGGTGCCAGCACGGCCGAGCACGGAGAGACATCGCGCCCACAATATCACACATGAGGCCCGATGAGAGCTTCCGCAGGGCTTCCGAAGGGCATCCGCTCCTCACAGCTCCTGGGACACGTAAAGATGGTCAGCGTCCGGGGCCTCTGAGGAACGTCTGGAAGTTTCAAAGCGGCAGGCCCTTCAAACACTTCGTGCACTCCAGGCCTCCAGAATCGCTCGAAGAGCACGCAACATCCAATCGATCGGCGCGATGGGGCTCCTGGGACACGTGAAAATATGAATGGTGTGGGCATCCAAGCTCCTGGGATACGATAATAAAAAAAGGAATGCGGGCGGGCGCGGGCATGGTACTAGCAGTAGACATGGTAGCAACGATACTAGCCAGCAGTACTAGAATAACCGTTAAAGGGGGGCACGACGACAACGACGACCACGACCACCAGCGGCGACGACAACGACAACGACACCAACCATCTTGCGAACATGTTCTTTAACAGCTGGCTTGGCCTGATGTTGTGCCCGCCCACTTAGTGAGTGTGCCAACGCCTAAGAGATATCTGTCTCATGCGATCTACTGGGCGAATCATTCAGCAGCGCACTTGGTGCACGCACCGCGCCGACATGGCCGTCATGGGGAGATGGATAGTGATGGAGAAAGTGAGGCGCATGCATACCCGAATGCCGGGCGCGGCCCAGCGCACTTCGCTGGCCCGAGGAGGGCAAACTCCCTCGGCCCGCCCGGGACGCGCAACATGCAGTTAATACGTGGCGTAGGAGGGCCACGACTCCAGAGGCGATCCGCTGGCCTTGAGGACAGCTGAAAGAACAAAACCCAATCGGGCACACCCGTCACACCCGTCACAAGGCCGACTGCTGGCTCCTGAGACCGCCTGGCCCGTGAAGGGACGCCAGGACGGCGCCGAGAAAATGGCAGCGAATGGTACCGACTGCCGTGGATGCCAAACACCACACACACACACACACGAATTGGGAAATATGCACGCGAATTCCCCCTGGGCGCCCGCCGTGACTTTCGTTTTGCGGGCGCAGTGGAGAACAGCCCGCTCTCTCATCGAACTAAGCTGAATTGGAGCCTTAGAGAAAGTTCTCAGGGGGGCGGAGAGCGCGAAGCGCAGCGGCGGCACCCCAAGAGGCCTCCCAGGAATGGGAAAACCACCAGCTACCGATACCGCAAGGGCCCGGACATGAGTAGAATCCCACCAAGCCTTTAGGGCGTGGGTGGTCTGGGGTGTTTTGTCTTCCATATACCCCTTCAGCCCCTTCGGTTGTGGCGCCGAGAATCTGCTTATGTTGCCTGGCCATGATCCATTAAATTGTTGCGACTTGTGTCGATTCAGGAGTTGTACACTTGTCTAGACATGTTGAGTTTGACGTTGATACGTGTGTAAACATATAGATTTCGGAGTTGTACACTTGTCTAGACATGTTGAGTTTGACGTTGTGATATTTGTAGTAGAAATGTATGAATGATTTGTGTGGTTTCGACGTTGTGTAGTAGAAATTGTTGTGTCAGATTTGATATCAAAATCAATACTGCTGAACTTGTAGTAGAATGTTGTGTATTAGATATGAGGTTCGGTGTTGTCGTCATCATGTGTTTTGGTTTGGTGGGGTAGCCGTGTGGGTAGGGGATGAGATTGTACTATATAGTGTTAGTTTGTGATAGAATAGTGTTAGTTGGTGTTGGAATAGTAGGTAGGACAAGGGGCGGAGATGAGATGATATACCAAAGGGAGCAGGACAAGAGAATAGGGGCCGACGAAAGATGGGAGGGGGGTGAGGACGCTCTGTCTGAACCTCCCTCCTCCTCCCTCCCTCCTCCTCTCTCCCTCCCTCCCCCCGTCCCTCCTCCTCTTACCCCGTCTCGATGATGAGACCAGCCTTCCTTCTCCTCCTCCTGGCCGCCTGGCCTCACCTCCTCCTCCCCCCTCCTCCTCATCATCCGAATCCTCATCCTCAGTCTCCATACCCTCCTCCAGGGGCTCGCGAAGGGGACCTGGAGAGGAGGGAGAGAAGAGGATGAGAGGAGAGTGGGACGAGTGAGGGAGAAGGGAGTGGAACAGAACGGAACGGAAGACCCGAAGGGGATGGGTGGATGGATGGGACGCTCATTTTTTTAGTTTTGGCGTGAAGTTCACGCTGCGGCGCACAGCCGCTGCGGCACAAAGGGAGTGCGATTGGGGCGGCCCACGGTCACTTAAAAGCGAAGGCGAGCCAGCCTAGACCGCAGCCAAAATGGCGCGCTAAGCTGACCTGGAGTCACTCGAGTCCCGCTGTGCCAGGCCCGTGGTGCTGTCTGGTAGGGTCTGCACTGTGTCTGGTAGGGTCTGCGCTGTGCTGCGCCGCTGCTGCGCTGCTGCGCTGTGCTGCACTGTCTGGTAGTGATAGTGGCTGCCTGCACTCGGAAGGACCGCGGACAGGTTCCAGATTCTGGATGCAGCGTCGTCGTCGTCTCGTCGCCGTCGTCGTCCGTCGTCGTCGTCGTCGTCGTCGTCGTCGTCGTCGTCGTCGTCGTCGTCACCGTCGTCGTCGTCGTCGTCCGTCGTCGTCGTCGTCGTCGTCCGTCGTCTAAGCCTTAAGCCCTACGGCGCTGCCCACACCTGCGGCCCCGGGCCGACGAACTGCTGGGCACCAAAACGGCGCTGCTGGCATCGCTGAGCGCTGATGGAATCGCTGGGCGCCACACTGCTGGCAACACTGGGCCCCGGGCGCCGAACTGGGCATGGCATGGCGAAGCTGCTGGCGCGCTACTTAGGAGTCGCAGTCCCTGAAGGATGCGTCTCCTCGAGAAATGTCATCGGATCAGCGAAGACGTCAGGATACTGCTCGGCGCGCTTCGCGCACCATTTGAGCCACAATTCCTGCTCCTGGTCACTGATGGTATCGGCGATCCAGCAACCCGTGCACATGAAACCTACGCCTGCCGCGAGAAAGCGCCTGCCGCGCCACACTCCATCCCACGTGGTGTTATGACAGTCGCTGCAAGTCGGCATGGAAGGCTTGCACTCGCTGCAATGGTATTTGCAACTGTTGCTCCTAGATACTGGCCAACGTCGTTGGTGGCACGTCGCGCATTTTGGCGGCTCCACAGTTGCGGGCGGCGGCATAACAGGACGGGTCTTCTCAGGCTCAGCCTTCAGGGGCTGCGGCGGCGACTCCTGAGGAGCTGACTTGGGCGCCTCTTCCTCGGGCTGTGCGGCAGCACTGTCGTCGGTCGGGGGGTGGCGTCTGCGCCGGAGAAGCGGGCGGCTGGCCGAACGTTCAGCTGCAGCAGGGCGGCGAGCTTCGCGGGGAGACGCGTCGCGCCTCGAGCGCCTAGACCTAGACCTAGCGGCAGGCTGCGACGAGCAACGGCTGACCGAGACGAGGCGGTAAGGCTCCCTTCGACGCTCTCGAGCCGCGCCTCGAGAAACGCGCCGCGCAGGGGGTGAGGGCCGCCTTCGGTCTCGCTCGCGGCGACGCTCCCGAGGCTCCTCAGTCCTGGCCGCCCTGGCCCTGGGCGCCATCTGCGCCTCGTGCTTCCTCCAGTCATCTTGGGAGCCTCCTGGCGACTTGCGGGCCCTGTCTCCACTTGCCTCCTTGGGCGGGGGATCTTGCCTGGGATCCTCGCGGTGGCGGAGGCTCGACTGATCGCTGCCAGGCCCGCGGCACATGGCTAGGTGATACTCGGCACGGGCGACGTGATAACTTCGATCTCTCTGGCCGCCCTGGCCGCTGCCCTTGACTCTGACTGTCCTGACTGGGCTGGGTGACCTGGCTGACCTGCGGCCCTCGCGCGGGGCAGAAGACGCGCGTGACGAGCTGCCTGACTCCTCTGGCACTGCAGACTCTGCAGACTCTGGCGGCGGCTGCTGACTTGGCGGCGGCCCTGAGGCTGGGGGCTCACAAGCAAACTGTGGCAGAGAATTAAAGTGTGCGGCGTGGCCCGTATGACCCGAGAAGACTGGGGCCGAAGCCGCTGTGGCAGCCACTGGGGGACTTAAGTTAATTAAGGGTGCCAAGGGGGCCAAGGGTAAAGGTGGCAGTATGAGCGGCAAACGCGGAGAAGACTTTAAAGGCGGCGGAGAGCCCCTGCTTTTGGCGGTGGCCCCAGAAACAGAGCCTGGGAAAACGTCGGCCCATGAGGCATGGGAGTTAGGCGCACTGGAGTCCCTGGAGGGCGGGTGCTGCACTGGGCCTGCTGCGCTGGAGGACGGGTGCTGCACTGGGCCTGCTGCACCGGAGGACGGGTGCTGCACTGGGCCTGCTGGCGGCCCTGGCCCTGGCGGCCCTGGCCCTGGCGCATCTGGAGCGCGCACTGGGCCCGCTGGCGCAGCTGGAGCGCTTGAGCGACAGAGGAACTCAGCGGCTCCCTCCATCATGCGAGATGGTTCGGGAAACCCGATCCAGAGAGAAAATAATCGATCGCTCAACTTCGGTCCTGCACAGATGCGAAGGTGATTGGGCAAGCGCATGCTGGCAGGAGGTCCTGTAGCGGGGCCGACGCAGCCAGGCGGCGGCGCCACGAAGGCAAAGAGTCCTGCTTGTTTGTCGCGCAGGTCTGGGAAGTGATCCCTACGAACGCAGTCTATGACGTCGCAGACGCGGAGCCCTCGCCGTGGGATCTGTATAGTGAACCACTGGAGGGACCGCTGCGGGACGCAAACGAAGAGCGTGCTGTGACCAAATTCTAAACTGGGCTGAGTTGTGCGACCTGACTCATCAGCAGGCAGGTCGCCGTCAGAGTCGTCCGAAGGGCCATCACGAGACCGCCTGCTGCGATCGGGCCTGCGAGCATCGCGGTCCGAGCTGCCACGACGCTGGTGCGGCGAGCGAGACCTAGGCTGTCCCTTAGAAACCCGCAGTGACTTGTGATACCCGAATACAATAAAGACTGCAAGCAAGCGGGCATA